GAGGTGTTCCCCATCCCCAATGAGAGAGGTAACAATCAGGCTGTTCCCTGCATGGGATGGAGGGAGCTCTGAGCTGATGGCTCCAGCTTGGGGAGGGGGGGGAAATAAAACCAACTCTTTTTTTCCACTGGAAATGAGATGTTTCATTCTTGGCAGGAAGGAAGACAAAGTGTGGAAAGACAAGTGTGGAAATGAAGCTGGTTTTTTTTTTTACCAAAAAATTGGGTTGTTTCAGAGTTTGTTTCAAAAGCAAATTCACAAAACGTTCTGTCCTACTGTTAAAAAAAAAAAGAAGCTTAAAGCCTGTAAATAGAGACAATGCCACCAGTGCAAGAATTAAGGACAAAAAGTTAAAAAAAAAAAAAAAGGTAAAAAAAAAAAAATAAAGCACTAATTTGTTTTGTTTAAATGTTGCTGTCACAGCTTTAATCACTGTATATTGCCAGCAGGTTTGTAGAGTTGCATTTCTTAGCAGGTTATCCTTGATTTATCAATTTGTATTTGTGAGGAAACAAGTGTGGTTTCCCCCCCTCTTTTCTTTCTTGATTTCTATATTTATATTTGGCTGAATTTGACTGCTGAGTCTCTCTGGATTCCCTATTTTTTGTTGTTGTTTTGGTTTTGTTTGGCTTTATTTAGACTTTTTTTTTGTTTGTTTTATGCTGGAGGTAAATATGCCCCTATAAATAAATATATAAATACTGCTTTGTATCCAAGGATGGCTCCTGGCACGTTCCTCCCTCCCTATCAAACAACAATCTTTATAGTTTGATTGTTATAAAAACTGCTTCTCCAGGAGCTGGAGGAATCTCAAGTGTCATTAATCAGTGGAAATATCCAGACAGGGTCAAAACAACCCCAGTCTGTGGCTACTCACTGCTACGTAGTGTGATTTCAAAGAGGTGTTTTAAAAAAAAGAGCTGTTGTTGTTCACACTTTGGAGGGCAGGGGAAGAACCAGAAGGATCTGAGATCATCCAGAGGGAAAACTTCCTTCCCAAATAGGAAATTAAAGGTTTAAAGCTGTTGGATTTCTGATTTTGAAATCTAATTGCTTCAAAAGCTGGGTTACAAATTCAAAGTTACCTTAAATATAGAATTATCCAATGGTTTGAGTTGGAAAGGACCTTTAAAGGTCCATCTAGTCCAACCCCCTGCAGTGACAGGGACATCTTCAACCACATCAGGTTGCTCAGAGCCCAACCTGTCCCTGAATGTTTCCAGGGTTGGGGCTTCTACCACTTCTCTGGGCAACCTGGGCCAGGGGTTCACCACCCTAAGCATAAAAAATGTCTTCCTTGTATCTAGTCTAAAAGTTTTCTAGTCTTAAAAGGAGTCTTCTAGTCTAAAAAATGGGTTTTCTAGTCTAAAAAAGAAGTTTTCTAGTCTAAAAAAGGAGTTTTCTAGTATTAAAAAGGAGTTTTCTAGTCTAAAAAAGGAGTTTTCTAGTCTAAAAAAGGAGTTTTCTAGTCTAAAAAAGGAGTTTTCTAGTCTAAAAAAGGAGTTTTCTAGTCTAAAAAAGGAGTTTTCTAGTCTAAAAAAGGAGTTTTCTAGTCTAAAAAAGGAGTTTTCTAGTCTAAAAAAGGAGTTTTCTAGTCTAAAAAAGGAGTTTTCTAGTCTAAAAAAGGAGTTTTCTAGTCTAAAAAAGGAGTTTTCTAGTCTAAAAAAGGAGTTTTCTAGTCTAAAAAAGGAGTTTTCTAGTCTAAAAAAGGAGTTTTCTAGTCTAAAAAAGGA